TAAAAATTCTCGTAAAATATTAGCATATAAAATCCAGTAATATATTAAGGGAAGAATACACTATGATAAGTTGAGATTCTTTCAAAGATAGGGTCAGTATTAGGTAATTTATCAGAATAATTGATTACTTTTAATAAATTGAGGGAACCAGCAGTTAGTGTAATGGCTATGTCGCTGGACTCCCACGTAGTCGACCACAGTTCACATCCTGGACGCGGTGGCTTAAAACTCACACCAGGCACGTGTGCTTACGTGCCCAAGATCCCAAGAGGAGAATGGAGGAGAAGGGATTGCAGCGTGATCACCCCCCTTGGGGGGTGATTTCTCACTTTCTGTCTCTCTGTCTCTCTCTGTCTGTCTGGCGAGTGCATGTGCCCTATAGCAAAAACCTCTCCCCAAGAAAAACAAAATAAAATAAAATAAAATAAAATAAATTGAGAAATTTCCCCCCTAAAGTTTATATAATAAGTACCAAAACACATTTCATTAAATTCAGCAGCTACTCTTAATAAAAACTCTGGTTAAAACTTATATACAGGTGATTACATAAACTTGGTCAATTCTTTGCTAAAGTCAATAACAAATACCATGTTAAATATTATGACACCATACTAAAACTTAGATATGTGTGTATACCTAAACCAAAAGCTGTTGTTAGTACATGTGAGCACTGAGTAACTAGAAACTAAAATGGAAAAAAATTCCATTCACACCATTAAGGAAAATTGTGTGTATATATGTGTATATACATCTTTTTTTTACAAGAATTTTTGCCATACAGTGTGTGTACTTGCTAGAGAGACAGAGAGACAGAAAGCAAGAAATCACCTTCCACAGGGGACGACCACACTGCAATTCCTTCTCTTTCGTTCTCCTCTCGGGATTTTGGGCATGCACATACACATTCCCGGTGTGGGAGTTTTAAGTCACCATATCCAGGATTCAAACCATGGTTGACTCTATGGGAGTCCAGTGACGTAACCATTACGCCATCTGCTGGTCCCAAGGAAAAATTGTATTTAAAGGCCTGAGTATATCCCTCACCATTACAAGCGAAACTTTCTTCCTAACCAAATTAAAAATACAATGCAATTTTAATTCAGAATGCCATGGTAGTTTGCTTATAAAAAAAACTTAATACTTCAAAAGATACAAAAAAAATTCAAAGGCTGAATATCAAGAAAGAAAATATTGTCAGTTCACATATCAGACAAAAGTTTACTATCCCTAATCAAAGAATTTCTGCAATTTAGTAAGAAAATTGCAAGTATAGTAGACAAATGGGGAAGGGATATGCCTAAGCTACACTGTGTATACTGCCTCCAGATTTCTTGATTTTGCTTGTTTCCTGGGCTCTCCGTTCCTCATTCCAGCCCAAGAACAAAGCCCAGACTCTGGTTCCTGGCAGTGTTTATTAGAATATGAAATGTACATAATCTTCAAGCTAGCAGTCTCTTCTACATACATATTAGTTCTTAGGGATGTATGTGCATCTCTGTCTGTCTGGCGAGTGCATGTGCCCTATAGCAAAAACCTCTCCCCAAGAAAAACAAAATAAAATAAAATAAAATAAAATAAATTGAGAAATTTCCCCCCTAAAGTTTATATAATAAGTACCAAAACACATTTCATTAAATTCAGCAGCTACTCTTAATAAAAACTCTGGTTAAAACTTATATACAGGTGATTACATAAACTTGGTCAATTCTTTGCTAAAGTCAATAACAAATACCATGTTAAATATTATGACACCATACTAAAACTTAGATATGTGTGTATACCTAAACCAAAAGCTGTTGTTAGTACATGTGAGCACTGAGTAACTAGAAACTAAAATGGAAAAAAATTCCATTCACACCATTAAGGAAAATTGTGTGTATATATGTGTATATACATCTTTTTTTTACAAGAATTTTTGCCATACAGTGTGTGTACTTGCTAGAGAGACAGAGAGACAGAAAGCAAGAAATCACCTTCCACAGGGGACGACCACACTGCAATTCCTTCTCTTTCGTTCTCCTCTCGGGATTTTGGGCATGCACATACACATTCCCGGTGTGGGAGTTTTAAGTCACCATATCCAGGATTCAAACCATGGTTGACTCTATGGGAGTCCAGTGACGTAACCATTACGCCATCTGCTGGTCCCAAGGAAAAATTGTATTTAAAGGCCTGAGTATATCCCTCACCATTACAAGCGAAACTTTCTTCCTAACCAAATTAAAAATACAATGCAATTTTAATTCAGAATGCCATGGTAGTTTGCTTATAAAAAAAACTTAATACTTCAAAAGATACAAAAAAAATTCAAAGGCTGAATATCAAGAAAGAAAATATTGTCAGTTCACATATCAGACAAAAGTTTACTATCCCTAATCAAAGAATTTCTGCAATTTAGTAAGAAAATTGCAAGTATAGTAGACAAATGGGGAAGGGATATGCCTAAGCTACACTGTGTATACTGCCTCCAGATTTCTTGATTTTGCTTGTTTCCTGGGCTCTCCGTTCCTCATTCCAGCCCAAGAACAAAGCCCAGACTCTGGTTCCTGGCAGTGTTTATTAGAATATGAAATGTACATAATCTTCAAGCTAGCAGTCTCTTCTACATACATATTAGTTCTTAGGGATGTATGTGCAAAGACCTTTCTTGCAGTATTGTTGTAATAGTAATTCCAAAAGGAATTGAGGTGTCCTTTGCTAAGATCCATTTCAGTATATTTAGAATAACATGAACTGTATGAAACTTAGTAATCATTTGCCCAAAGAACAATTGTCTTTAATACCTTTATTTTGTTTTTATATTAGGATATTTAGGGCCCTCAAGTGTGAGGCTCTGCTTGCCTGGGATTAAAGTTGATAGCATTTTGCTGTTAGGTACAAGGCTTCCCTACCCATGCTGTAAGCTCCTTATGGGCGAGTTACTTTACCTCTTTAAAAATTAGTCTGTTTAGTTGTGAGTCAAACTCTTCAAAAGTGAGAAATGGATAAGTGCCACTTCTTGAAGGAATAATGATATGAATTTAAAAATGACAAGTTGAGTAATGTTATTACTGAGAAAAATGGTGAAGAAAATCCATTTGTAGATAAGCCTCTTAAGGAAGACTGGGATAGAATAGTGAATAACTAAAGGAACTTTGTCACCTGGTATATTTTCTCATATCACCTCGTTTGTGACATTTATCACACAAACAATAAAATAGTTATTTTCTTCCTAAAAATTACATGCACTGTATCAATTCAGTAAACACCTAGATAGGAAATAAGGAGTTTATAGGTCTGTCTCCCCAAAATACACCCCCCCCTTTTTTTGTTTAAGTTGGGCAAAGAAATGATTCATTGTTCTGTTTTTAAGCTTAGATGAAGGCATCAATGTGTTATATTTTGCAACTTCCTATATGCTTGACAACTCACTATTTTATATTTTTAATTATTTCTTTAAGTTTATTGATTGATCTGTGGTCGGCCATGTGGGAGTGTCTAGCTCCTTAACCACCATGCCACCTGCTGGCCCTGACAACTCACTCTTTCATAATCTATGGATATTTAGTGTTTGAAAGAAGCAAGACCTTGCTGGGCCTTATAAACACTTGATTGGCTTCTATAATGGGTCACTGTATACATAGATGCTTAGGTGAAACTATACACACTCACCTTTTATATGTCCCACAAAGGATATAAACAATATGCTATATAGAATCTGATGGGTTTTTTCCCCAGTACATTTCACATTTATACTAATCTCATCAGATTGGGTAAACCTTCCACACCTGTTGGTTCAATATTATTGATCAGCTGCTATGTCAAGGCACTGTGCTAGGAGCCCTATGGACACAGGAAATAGGAAGAATTGTCCTTGAGAAATGTGTAGCGAGTAAGGGGAAATAAATTATAGTTGTTAAAATTTTTTAAACACCTAACTTACTTCTCTAAGGGTGAATCACCATCTATTTGCTCATTGGCCAGAGTCTTGCAAATTTTCATTCTGTGGTACCATTGACAAACGAAGGGAAAAAAAAGTTTTTCTATTGCCAGAGGGAATGTGCACTTGCCAGAACTAGGGCGAGAAAGCACCATTATGGGGTGTGGTCATGTCACAATCCCTTCTCCATTTCGCCATCCTGTTCAGACCTTGGGCATGTACACACACATGCACCCAGCATGTTTTTCAAGCTACCAGGGTCATTATTTGAACTGCACTTGGACATGTGGGATCCAGCTCCCTTAACTATCGGATAACAGAACTGGCCCAAGAAAGAAAAATTTGGAGGCTATCTCCAAATTTTGGCCAGTATCAAAATTCTGCACTTGTTCCAATTTTTTTCTCATGCATACTTTTAAAAAGGCAATTTAAAGGCCAGCAGATGGCATACTGGCTAAGATGCTGAACTCCCACATGGCCAACTGTAGTTCAAGTCCCTGACACGATGACTTGAAAACTATACTGGGTACATGTGCATACATACCCCAAATCCTGAGAGACTAGAGTAGAAGGGATTGCAGCATGGCCATTCCCCCTGGCAGGGGAGGGGGAACAAAGACAACTTAAGAGTTACAAAGTTGGGCCAACCCGATAGCACAACAGTTAAGCATGGTGAAGAAGAAGCTGGATTTCTCCTTGCACACCAGGGTTTAAGTTCTGGCCTGGTACTTTGAAAAACATGGTGGGCTAGCTCACATGTATGTTTAGGATCCTGATGGGATGGAGAATTGAAGAAAAACAGATTTCGGCTGACCAGGCTGCGGGTGGGGGGGGGGTGCTTTCTTTCTCTCTCACTTGCCCTCTGTTGGAAAAAAAATGTATAAGGTAAAAATTATGGTAATTGCATAGGATCATAATTAATCATTATTGCTTTTTAAGATGTACAAAAATGCCGAGTTGATTGACAATATACTAATGTTAGATGTAATTGCAATGATAATTTTTGCTTTACACCATCTGGTTCTTCCAAAACACTCTTAAAGAGTTTCTCTTTACTTAATATTTTTCTTTTCTTTTGTAGGAGTTTATTTTGTCAGAAGATTATAACAAGATGACTCCTGTGAAAAACTATCAAGGTAGGAAGTAAGGAGTATTTCTATTACCCAGACTTTAAAATAATTTCTTGATGATTTTCACTGCTTCAAGAGGGTACTTACTATACAATAGTGAGGTGAACAAAACACAACAGTACTTTGAAGGGAATATTATCCCAGTTTTTTAAGTAAAGAGCTGAAGACAGAAGAGGCTGGGTAACTTGCTTATGGTCTTGGCTGAGTGCTGAGCCAGACCAGGTCAGTGTGATCCCCAAATCCACAGGCTTTGATTTACTACTGAACCACACTGCCTGGAACAGCTCTGCAGGCTGGGAAATCAAGGCCAGTGGAAAACCGCTTTGCGTGGGCTTCATTTTGTATTTGGTTAAATGTTTTAAAAATGTTCAACGTATTCCTGTTGCACAAGAGAAGGAATTATAGTTCTATTGTGTCTTCCACATTGGCAGTTACCATAGGCCATCTTTGTAGTATATATCAGAAACCATTTTTAGAAGGGATTTGTTTTTTATCCAAACCAACAATATTGTGGACTCAGAATATCAGAGGTACACTTTTAACATTTAGATGTCATTTCATCCAGATCTCTTGACCTTATTCATCCTAGTATCATTTGGTATCATTTTAAACAATAGGACATGGCATCTTTTTAAAACTCTGAAATTAATTTCCACATGAGGGAGTTTTCAAAAAGCTTGTAATGACTATTACTAAAAACAAAGGACATACAAACAAAAAACTATTCATGGATTTCAACATTTTTTGTACCAAAATAAACTTGTGCTTTAATTTCATTTTTCCATAAGCTTTTGATGTCCCTTTGTATATTTTATTGTTAAACTAGAGAACATAGTTGACCGAAGTCCAAGGTAGCAATGATGCAGGTAGTGACCCAGTAGCATGCCCTGAAGCAAACTGACCCAGACTTGGGCCATCACTCTGTTCACAGCTGCTTAGCTATTCCTGCCTGTTTTCTGAGCCTGGTTGGCAAGCTTTTCTATTATTGAATTATCTTTGCAATAATTTCCTTTTCAGCCTAAAAGAGAGAGAGAGAGAGAGAACAAAAACTGAAACCTAAGCTATGAGAAAGGAAACAAAGATCTTAGCAGAAATTTATAAAATAGCAGAAAATAGAGAAAAATGAGTAAAACCACAGCTGTTTTTTTTTTTCTTTTTTTCTTTTTTTTTTGAATATCGATTAGATAAATCTCATGCCAGACTTGTAGGGAAAACAAAAAGAAGATGAAAATGGCCAATACCAGGGATGAGTCAACTAACTTTGCTACAGATTCAAAATATATTTATGCTAATAAATTTGACAACTTAAACAAAATGAAGAAACATTTGAAGGATGCAAACTATAGAAAGTCACTCGAGAAAAAATAAATAGATCTAGCTGTCTAGGGCAGCCTTTAAGTGCTGTGCATAAGGAATCAGATTCTACATGGCCAACCACAGTTTGATTCCTGGCCTTGGCAACTTCAAAAACACACAGGATGCTTGTGCCAGTATGCCCCCAAATCCAGACACTATGGAGACATGGAGGAAAACAGACTGTAGCACAACCCCTTTCCATTGACTGTTCTCTCTATTGCACACACATATGTTCTCAGGCAATAAATAAAGAAGAAATAGACAATCTTAACAGCTCTCTATTAAAGAAATTGAACTTACAGTTAAAACTTTTCCACAAAGAAAACTCTAGGCCCAGCTAGCTTTACTAGTGAATTTTATGAGATACACAAGAAGCAGTACCCAGTCTACACACTTCTCAGAAATTAAAGAACTTAGACTTTCCAGCCAATTCTGTGAATTCAGTAGTATAATACTAAAAATTAGACCAAAAACAATACATCAGTCAAAAATGATAGTTGACCATCTACAAAAAGTCTAAGCAGAATTTTAACAAATCAGCAAGGTAATAAATATATCATGATCAAGTAAAGTTTATCCCAGAAATGCAGTCTTGAATTGACATTAAAATTAATCAGTGGGGGTCCAGCAGGTGTCATGGTGGTTAAGGCACTGGACTCACACATGGCCGACCATGTCAGGACCTAGTCCTGGACCTGACAGCTTGCTTTCTCATTCCTCCCCTACAATCTCTGGTGCTCACACATGCCCTGTAGCAAATTTAATAATAATAGTGAGTAAAATTAAATAATTCTTAAAAAAATTTTAAATTAATCAGTGGTTTATGCCCAAAAGAAACTAAGGCAGGGGCTTTAACAGATAGATACTTGTACACCTGTGTTCATAACAGCATTAGTGAAAATAGCTCAAATGGTAGATGCAGCCTAAATGTTCATCAACAAATGAATGGATAAAAAATACAGTATTCACGTACTGGAATATTATTCAGGCTTAAGAAGGAAGGAAGTTTATACACATGCTACATTATTGGTGAACTTTTAAGACATATGCTTAGTAAAATAAGCCAGTCACAAAAGGACAGGTACTGAAGAATTCTAATCACATGAGGCACTTCTTGTAGTCAAGTTCATAGAGACCAAATATAGAATGGCTGTTGCCAAGGGCAGTGTGGACCAGGGAATGGGAAGTTAGTGTTCAATGGGTACAAAAGTTTCTGTCTGAAAAGATCAGAAAATTTTAGAGACTGGATGGTGGTGATGGTTACACAACAATGTGAATGCCCTGAATACCACAGAACTGTATACTTGAAAATGGTAAATTTTATGTATATTTTAGTGCAATAATTTTTTAAACAATTACATATGTTAAATGACTATTAACATCCCTGAAATATACTTCAATGGTTCAATGAATACTCCTCTCAAAAAAAAAAAAAAGCATAAAAGGAAACTAGTGTTGACAAAGATGTTGAGAAATTGGAACCCTCATACCCCATTCATGGGAATATAAGATGGTGTGGCCACTTGAACTGTTTGTGAGTTTTTCAAAGAGTTAAACATGAAGTTAGTTAGTGACAGAGCATTTCTACTCAAGAAAGTTAAAAGCATATATTCATTAAAAAAAAAAAACTGTTTACAAATATTCATATAGCAACATTATTCATAATAGCCAAAAATAGAAATAAGCTCAGCGTTCATCAGTGTATGAAAGGATAAACAAAATGTGGTATATACATGAAATGAATATATACAATGAATTATAATTGGGCATCAAAAAGGAGTGAAGTACTGACATTTACTACAACATGGATGGACCTTCAAAACTTAAGCTAAGTGAAAGAAACCACATACAAATGGCTATTTATTTTATGATTTAATTTATATGAAGTGTCAAAAATAAGAGAAGTAGATTAGAGATATAACAAGATTAGTAGTTGCCCAAGGATGGGAGAGGAATTTCATTTTGGAGTGATGGGACTGTTGTGGAAATAGTAGTGAATGATTGTACAGCACTGTAAATATACTAAAAACCAGTGAATTGAACACTCTAAAATAAAGTGATGAATTTTATGTTATGTAAGTTTTTTTTTAAAGAATTATTTTATTTAACTTTATTAATTTATTTTAATTTGACCAGAGAGGAACAGTGAGAGAGAGGAAGAGGGAAAGTGAGAAAGCAAGCCACCAGGTCTGGGATTTGAAACGTGGTCGGCCATGTGGGGAGTGAAAGAAACCACATACAAATGGCTATTTATTTTATGATTTAATTTATATGAAGTGTCAAAAATAAGAGAAGTAGATTAGAGATATAACAAGATTAGTAGTTGCCCAAGGATGGGAGAGGAATTTCATTTTGGAGTGATGGGACTGTTGTGGAAATAGTAGTGAATGATTGTACAGCACTGTAAATATACTAAAAACCAGTGAATTGAACACTCTAAAATAAAGTGATGAATTTTATGTTATGTAAGTTTTTTTTTAAAGAATTATTTTATTTAACTTTATTAATTTATTTTAATTTGACCAGAGAGGAACAGTGAGAGAGAGGAAGAGGGAAAGTGAGAAAGCAAGCCACCAGGTCTGGGATTTGAAACGTGGTCGGCCATGTGGGGGTCCAGCATCCTTAACCACTACGCCACTTGCTGGCCCGTTATGTAAGTTTTATCTCAAAAAGTAAAAATGAATAAACAAGACAGATACTAAAACCAAAGGCATAAAGGAAGACTACAAACCAATATTTCTCAGGAAAATAGATAGAAAAGTTCTCAAAACAAAAATCAAACAAACAAAAACCACATCAAATCCAATAGTATATCCAAAGAATTATATGGCTTGACCAAGTAGAATTTATTCCAGATTTGCAAAGCTGGTTCAACATTTGAAGGTCAGTGTAAATATATCATAGCAACAGGCAATAGAATAAAAATCCTATCACTCAATGAAGAAAAAAAATCAATAAAAATACAATTCATTATTTAAAAATCTCGGCAAATTAGGAATAGAGGAGAATTTCTACAAAAAGCTATAGCTAACATCATATTTAATGGTGGGAAAATAGATGTTTTCCCTTAAGAGGAGAATCAAGGCAAAGATGTTCCTTCTAACCACTCCTATTTAAGAAGTATAGCCAGACATCAAGGCCATAGTTTATTTCATGAGTTTCTGAAGCTTAATGATAAATGTATATCTTTGAAGAGTTTCCTTTTGAAATGAATTCTCAGAAGCCAAATGTACTTTTAGAAAAAGTATATATGTGCTTTGAGGTGTGTGTGTGTGTGTCCCCGACCCAGCCCGGGTAGTCATAGGCAGCCTGACACTGAGAAAGAGAACCAACTTTGAAGTCAGCGAGACTAGGGATTTGAGTTCAGCTTTGTCAAGCGCTGGTTCGGTAGCTTCAAGCAAGCCACTTAACATTTCTAGCCTTAGTCTCCTTCATTGGCAAATGAAGGGCTGCCCAGAGAGCTAATCCTCCTTATCTTCTGTTGTCATCCCCTTGGACTTAGAAAGAGTCAGATGGAAGGCCAAAGTCCCCTTCAGGAGAAAGAATGAGGGGAAAGGTGCTAGGGGACACTTTCTGCTTGAAATAGACTTAGGTATACTTGGACTCATCATAGAGCTTGTTTTTATTTTTAACAGTGGTGGAATTTGAACTGGATATTCGATGACACAGACACGAAAGGATTAGGAATTTCTCCTAGTCATATCTTTTAGTTAAAGACTATGTTTTGATCTTGATAGGGCTGACTTGCATTGTAGAGAAGTCATAATGTTATTGCTTCCAAGGCCCCTTATATTCTCCATACTTCAGATAGCAGGTTTAAAATATCGGACATTTCTTGAAATGGTTGTCTTGTGTGTATTCACTATTGGGACTGACTACATTACATGGGTTCCAATCAAAAAGGGTTGTTTTGCTAAGGTTGAGTTTCCTGTACAATGAGGAAATTATCACCCACTTTGCAGTTCATTGCAATGATTTATTGAAAAAAATGTATTTAAGTACCTGGTGCTTGCTAGACACTGAGAAATTGGTAGATATCATTGCCAGTGGAGCTGTGTTTATCCACCCATACTGTCTAACTCTGTTTTCTTTTTTAAAAAAACTTTATTTGTTTACTTGTTTATTTATTTGAATTTGACCAGAGAGGGACAGAGTGAATGACAGAGAGAGGGAATGAGAAAGCAAGCTACCGGGTCTGGGACTCGAACTGCGGTTGGCCATGTGGGAGTGTCCAGCACCCTTTACCACTATGCCACCTACTGGCCCCTAACTCTGTTTTCATGATCAAAATGGGAAAGTGATGTTATCATCACTGCAACACATCTATGTGAGTGTGTTCACACCCTGCTAGTACAAGCCCCTGCGAGCAGGGCCCAGTGAGGACTAGGTTGCAGGATGTCAGTATTTATTTATTCCAGTCGAATATGTTCAGTGACTGCAGGCCCCTTCCACCTCACTGCCTGGAATTGTATAGTCAGAAAGTAGAAATCCTCCCACAGTAGTAAAGAAGTCATGAGACCTTGGCCAAAATATTCAACTTCATTGTGCCTCACGTTTGCCACTTTTGCCTCTGTGTAAATAGGGAGATGGACTAGGGGACATTAATAGTCTCCTATTTTTTATTTATTCATTTTGAGAAGTTTTTGCTATAGGGCATGTGCGCTTGCCAAAAAAGACAGAGAGAGGCAGAAAGAGAGAAATCATCCCCCCAGGGGGGATGGCCACGCCGCAATCCCTGCTCCTCCATTCTCCTCTCAGGATCTTGGGCATACATGCACACGTGCCCTGCGTGAGTTTAAGCTACTGAGTCCGGGACTCGAACTGCAGTCGACATGGGAGTCCAGCAACATAACCATAACACCAACTGCTGGTCCCTATAGTCTTCTCTTATGCTGAAATTGTGTCATGCAATAACTATGGTAGTGGTGTCTTTGTATATGAACAACCCCAGGAAATGTGCTGTCATTGTGTGTGTGTGTATACATATACATATATATATATATACATATGTATATATATATATAGCATAGATGTATACACATACACACAAACACTTTATTTTTGGAGGGGTTTTTGCTATAGGATGCGTGCACTCATCAGGAAGATAGAGAAAGACAGAAAGCGAGAAATCAACCCCCCAGAGGGGATGGCCATGCTGCAATCCCTTCTCCTCCATTCTTCCCTCAGGATCTTGGGCACGCACACATACGTGCCCAGCATGAATTTAAGCCGCCGGGTCTGGGACTTGAACCGCAGTTGACTACATAGGAGTCCAGCGACATAGCCATTATTCCAACTGCTGGTCCCCATACACACACACTTTGACATAAGGGGTATTTTATTCTCTTTTATATAGTACTTGGGAATTATTCTGTTTTCAAAGCATTTGGTTTCTGACAGAAAGTTCTTCATTCAAAACTTTGTTATGGATTTATAAAATAGACTTCATTAAGGCCAACAGGGAGAGTAGTGGTTAGGGTGCTGGACTCCCACATGGTTGACTGCAGTTTGAGTCCTGGACCCAGCAGCTTGAAACTCATGCCAGGTGTGTATGCATGTGTGCCCAAAATCCTGAGAGGAGAATGGAGGAGAAGGGATTGTGGCATGGCCATCTGCCCCTAGGGGGTGATTTCTTACTCTTTCTCTGCCTCAGCAAGCGTACTCACCTTATAGCAAAAAAAATTCTCTAAAAAATTAAAAACTAAAAAATAAATGAAACAGACTTCATTAAAAGAAGGACAGTATGGTCTTTCCTTTTTTTCTAAGTGCACATAAGCTAACCACAGTGATTCTATGGTACAGACGTCATTCCTGATGTGTCTTGCGGTCACACTGGATCTGGCACTTTCCACTGCAGCAGCCCCAGCATGTCCAAGGGACATGACCCAGGTCCCTTGACAACAGGTGCTTTCTGTGGTAGTAAACTTTGCATTGGTGCAAGAGGGACAAGGAGGCATCATTGGGAAGAAACAGGTAGTTTTTAAAGTAGTATATAAAAATTTGGATATACCTGTCTGCAGTGGCATATCCCTATCCATGATGAGAACTTCTGTTTTATCCTCTCCTCAGAGACCAGCAGGTGGTGTGGAGGTTAAGGCACCTGGATCCCATGTTACTGAGTGTGTGTTTCAAGTCCCACACTGGGCGATTTAAGAAGCACCCCAGTTGCATGTGTATGTGTGCCCAAAATTCCAAGAGGAGAATAGAAGGGATTGCAACATGGCGGTCCCCCTAGGGGTACTTCCTCAACTTGCCTTCTGTCTCTCTCTCTCTATCTCCAGTAAGTGCATAGGTCCTATAGCAAAAAAGAAAAAAGTTACTTTTTCAGCCTGTTTTGGGGTTGAGAGAAGAGGGGTTCACATCTTCATAGACTGTGCCTTTTCCCCACCTGGGGATGCTTTATTAACTATTTTCTTGTCTCTTGGTTTTCAGCGCATCAGAGCAGAGTGACGATGATCCTGTTTGTCCTAGAGCTGGAATGGGTGCTGAGCACAGGACAGGACAAGCAGTTTGCCTGGCACTGCTCTGAGAGTGGGCAGCGCCTGGGAGGTTATCGCACCAGCGCCGTGGCCTCCAGCCTGCAGTATCCTTTGCTGGACAAAATCCCGTGGTGGGAACTTAGCCTTTGACTTCTTTGATTCATAATAATTAGGGGTACGTGCAACTTGAAAGTTTTTTGCTTTGTCGTTTGCTGAGCTGTCCTGTGTAATTAAGCTGCTCATAGACTTTTCTAAGCCACAGATCTTCGAGAGTCCCTGTGTAAGTGGAGCAAAGTGAGGTAACTTCACTTGAAATAGACTCTGCTAAGCAGGTTGTGCGTCTGCTATGACACAGAGTCTGCCATCTTGACAGGACACAGCTTGGATTTGTGAACCTTGACTCTCAGAGATTTGAGTACATAGAAATGAAACTATCATCATAAAAATCACTTCTGGGGACCAGCAGATGGCATAATGGGTAGTTGACCACAGTTCAAGCCGACTGCGGTTCAAGTCCTAGATCTGGCAGCTTAAACCTCAGTGCTGCATGTATGTGTGTGCATGCCCAACATTCTGAGAGGAGAATGAAGGAGAAGGGATTTTGGTGTGACTGTCCCCTCAGGGGGTGATTGCTCGCTTTCTGTCTCTCCAGCGAGCATATACGCTCTGTATCAAAAATATCTCTTAAAAAAGACAGTCACCTAGGGGCTGGCAGGTGGCAAGGTGGTTACAGGTGCTGGATTCCCACTTGGCTGACCGTGGTTCGAGTCCTGAACCTGGTAGCTTGCTTTCTCACTCTGTCCCTCTCTGGTCAAATTAAAATAAACAATGAATAAATAAATAAAGTTAAATAAAATAATTTTTAAAAATCACCTCTGTGATTTTTGTACAGAAATCATTTATGCATAGCTATTAAGGTTGTCATAGTTCACTTTTTACTTTTACTTTTTTTTTTAGAGCAGTTTTTGCTGTAGGGTGTGTGTGCTCGCCAGAAAGACAGAGGAAGAGAGAGGGAGAGAGAGACAAAAAGCGAGAAATCACCTCCCAGGGGGAATGGCTACACCGCAGGCCCTTCTCCTCTATTTTCCTCTTGGGATCTTGGGCATGCACGCACACACGCCCGGCATGAGTTTAAGCCACTGGGTCCAGGACTCAAACGGTAGTCAACTACATGGGGGTCCAGCAACATAGCCATTATGCCAGCTGCTGGTCCCTATAGTTCACTTTTTACATTACTAACAGGAATACCTGAACCTGGGTGTTTTTATAAATTAGATTAAATGTTATTTACAAACTCATGATTCTGGTGGCTGGAAAGTCCAAAGTCCTAAGGCTTCAGCATGACCAACAGAAGCACAGGATAGCAGGCTCGTGTAGAGAGAGAGGGAGGTCCTGAGTGAACTCTCTTCCCCAACAACCAGCTCTCATGAGAACTAAAACTAGAGAGACATCATTAATTTATTCATGAGACTGTTACCTCCATGATACAATCACCATGAGACAATCACTATCCACTAGGCCTCCGCCTGGGACACCATGGAGGAATTAAGTTTTTACCTTTATAGTATGTCAACAGAATGAATTTTGGAGGAATATATTCAAACCATAGTAGTTTTGAACACTCTTATTGGTACTGGGAAAAGAACCGCAAGATTCTTGTTCATGTTTAAAATATTTATTGGGAAGCTGCCATACCAGGACAGAGTGGGTTAGCTGTTACCTGTGTGGTAATGTTCCAGGCCTAAGAGTTTTTCAGCATATGTAGAATGATATTCTTAACTCCCAAGTTGCCAGGGTTCATATGCTCAGGGCGCATCTCTGCTAATGGTGCGTAATCCCCACATCTGGCCAACGGGCCTCAAGCAAGCACTCTAGTGCTAGTGTTTAGCATATGTAGATGATGCTGCTATTGAAAAGAGCAAAGGACCCTGTGATTCTTATTTTCAAAAGCATAGAATCTCTCCACCTTCTGATAAATGAGGAAGTAGGTAGAAACAGATCACTTGTGAGCAAAGCAGGAAGAAACAGTAAGACCAGCTTTCTAATTTTTATCTTCATCCTTATAAAATACCTGGTCAGTGATTCTCAGTGTCCTGACAGGATATGTTTCTGTTTCTTTGCAGACATAGAGCAACTGGTATATTTTTGTGTGTATAAAGGGTAATATCACTCAGTTTGCTCAGTGGAAGGACAAGATGAAGAAACTAAGAATGAGTGTTGTGGAAGGTTGTAAAGTAGAAGGCCAGGGCAGCAATGATAGGAATGGAAAGCAAGATCAACTTATCTTTCAGAGAATAACACCTGTTAATGATAGAAATTGCAGACTTTTCTTTTTGTGTGTGTGGGGGGGGGAGGGAGATTTTTGCAATACGGCACATGTACTCATCAGAAAGACAGGGATGGAGAGAGAAAAAGTGAGAAATTACCTCCTCCCAGGGGGATGGCCACATGACAGTCTCTTCTCTTCCATTCTCTTGGGATTTGGGGCATGCATACACATGGACCTGGCTTGAATTTCAAGCTGCTGGGTCTGAGACTCGGACCACAGTCAGCCATGTGGGAGTCCAGCGCCTTAACCACTACACCACCTGCTGGCCCCCACATTTTTCTTTCTAAAAACCCATTCAGGTGAGCATAAGGCTTGAATTGAAATGCTCAACTTTTCTTGCCAACAGATTAATGATTTCTTATAATATAAGAGCTGGAAGCACCCTTAGAGATCATCCATTCCAGTCTCTATATTTTACTCTGTTTGAGTAGGTGTTAGGTTGTCAGGAAATTCATGACATATTTTTTTCTATGTTTTTCAATACACAAATACGTCATGACTTTCCAGGCAACCCAATATAATACTTTACTATAAACTGGGTATCTTATAAACAATAGAACTTAATTTCTCACAGTTTGGAAGGCTGTAAAGTCTTAAGATCAAGCTGCCAGTAGATTTAAACATTAAATATTCCTTAACACACACACACACACTACACACGCACACACACAGAACTTGTATTTGGTTGGTGCAAAAGTAATTGTGGTTTTGCATTGTTGAAATTTGCTATTTGATATTAGGTACATTCTTAAGTAAATGTGGTTATGTTATACATCATTTCAATGCACATTTCTCGCTTTTTTTGCTACTTGCTTATTATTTGCTGTTTATTTCATATGTATTTTAGACTATGGAAATGATGATACACAAAAAGCAAATTTGAGTGACTTCCTTATACCAGTTCAAAATGGGTCATAAAGCAGTGGAGGCAACTTGCAACATCAGCAGTGTGTTGGCCCAGGAACTGCTAATGAATGTACAGGGCAGTGGTGGTTCCTTTTGCAAAGGAGACAAGACCCTTGAAGATGAGGAGTGTAGTGGCTGGTCCTCGGAAGTTGACAAAAACCAATGCAGAGCAATTGTCAAAACTTAGCCTCTTACAATTACATGAGAAGTGACTAAAGAACTAAAGGTCGACCATTCTTTGGTCATTTGGCATTTGAAGCACATTGTAAAGGTGAAAAAGCTAAATAAGTGGGTGCCTCATGAGCTGACCAAAAATTTTAAAAAATGGTTTTGAAGTGTCATCTTCTATTATTTTACACAATAACAATGAACTATTTCTCAATCAGATTGTGACGTGTGATGAAAGTGGATTTTATGTGACAACCAGCTCAGTGGTTGGCCTGAGAAGAAGCTCCACAGCACCTCCCAAAGCCAAACTTGAACCAAAAACAGGTCATGGCCATTGTTTGGTGGGCTCTGATCCACTATGGCTTTCTGAATCCTGGTGAAACCATTATATCCTAGAAGTATGTTCAGTCAATCAATGAGATGCACTGAAAACTGCAACACCTGCAGGCAGCATTGGTCAACAGGAAGGGCCCAATCCTTCTCCAGGACAGTGCCCTACCGCACACCACACAATCAATGCTTGAAAAGTTGAACGAGTTGGGCTATGAAGTTTTGCCTCATCTGCCATATTCACCTGACCTCTTGCTAACCAACTGCCACTTCTTCAAGCACCTCAACAACTTTTTGCAGGAAAAATGCTTCCACAACCAGTCAGATTCAAAAGATGCTTTCCAAGAGTTTATAGAATCCTGAAACATGGATTTTTACACTATAGAAATAGCAAGTTTATTTCTCGTTGACAAAAATGCTTTGATTGTAGTGGTTTCTATTTTGATTAATAAAGATGTGTTTGATTACTTACACTTGATTACACTTACTTTTGCACCAGCCTAATAACTATAAATGATTGATTTGTTAATTAATTTGTACAAATCATTACACAGTGTATATGTATATAAATCATCACATCATATATCTTGAATATATACAATTCTCATTTGTCAATTTTTTAAGTGAACCAGCTGAAGTTCAGAGTCATGTGCCATATCTGAGGCTATTGATATTAGATACATTCTCAAATAAATGTGGTTATGTTATATATCATTTCCAGCTAGTGAGTAGGAAAATCACCACTAGCACCCAGGTCTCCTGTTTTTCCTCCATTGAATAGCATTTCTCCTTTGAGAATTACTTTTGTTTGCTTCTTATGTTTACTATCAGGTACACATTCTCACCAGGGAGGTGGGATAGTGAGATAGTACCCCTTGGGGCAGTTGGCCATACCACAGTCCCTTCTCCTCCATTCTTTTTTTGGGATGACCATGCTTGCACACATGCCCAGCATGTTTGTCAAACCACCAGGTCCAGGACTTAAACCATGCAGTTGGCCATGTGAGATAAAACCCCTTTAATCCCTATGCCCTCAGCTGGCCTGTAATTTGTTATGTCAACTTCTGTATTACTTAGCCAAGTCAAGTAATATAGAAAAAAATTATAGGTCTTACCCTTAAGAAATTAACTTTTTATGCTATCTGGAAAGTGCACACACACACACGTGCACGCACACATGAAATTTAACTTGGCTCTTAGTGTATTAAGTCTTTGATGTGAGAATATACCACTTCCTCTTTTCAAGAATCTCCAAAGTCATTGTCATTTTGTGGTTATTTCTTTGGGCCTCTTCATGTGATTTATAAGCAGAAAATTATGTGTTTGGATATCAGAAGCCTGTGTCTGTGTGTGTAGGTTTCTGCGCTCTTG